TTCTCTTCCTGACATCTTGGCTGATTTCTTTAGATTTTCCTATGTTGTCACAAAAGGAAGCAGGGGGTTTGAGGTGTGCCTTAAAATACATCCACAGGTGTGCCTCCAATTAACTCAAATAGTTTCTATTTGTGGTAGTTTTGCATCTATTTGTCTTCATTCTTCCCCTCTATGGATTATTCTGTCTCCTTGTGGATGTTTTGAATCTCATATTGATCCTTTTATGTCTCTTTTTTTGCAGCTTTTCTAGTTGTTTTGAATCTGTCTTTTTGGCTGCTTTGCATAACTTCTATAGAGGTTTTGTGGTCTTTTGTAGTTTTTAATATCTTTGTGGTTGCTTTACATCTTTGCAATCATTTTGTTTCTGTTTGCACCTCTTTGTGTAGGTCTGGCATCACTTACTGGCCTTTTTAGTCATAGTCTGCACTCTCTCTCTGTTGTATATGTATTTACATATTTGAGAGAGTGAGGGGTCGAGATTCAGAACAATACAGCGCAGCATGCATTAAGATGCAGTAGGATTAATAGTGGGGGATCTTTGTTTTTGATTTTATTCTTGTTTGGCTTTTGTTTGTTTTTTTCAAAGAATAAAGATGACATAAAAAGCTTGGTCTGAAACACTTGAAAATCAATAAACTGTAACAAGACGCGTCCTGGTTTTCCATCTATTGATTGTGTAACACTGGAAGTCAAAGCTTTAATCCAGATACAGTTTGTTCTATGTCACAGAGGCCCAAGCTGGGATCCCAGCACTTCCAGGACTCCTCAGTTTAATCAGTTTAACCCAGCAGGAGGTTTCACTTCTAGCTGTGACCTTCTTTCACTTAGAGATAGAAATCAAAGAATTTAATCCATAACAAAACGTATAAGTTAGTGTTAAGACATGTACTTGAACACCTGAGGAATTGGAATAAATATTCAACTTAGCTTTTATTGCATGATGTCTGGTAATAAACCACTGAAGACGAATGTAAGGCGACATAATATTATTCTGGTTGTGGTGCGCTGCATTCAGTTACTTCCTGTGTTGTGTTCCTGCTTGTGATGCACTAGAGGGCATCCTTGGCTTTGAAAGTGGGAGGAGGAGTGGTGAACCAGGAGTAATTATATCATCTGGAGAAAAAATACTTTGCAGTAGAGCAACAGTGCAACATGTCACAACTCGGATCCTCCCTAGAATACATGATTATCAGCATGATCAAGGTATTTTTAGCTCCAGTATTCTCTATTTCTTTCACAGCTGACACGTTTCGTTTGACAGAACAAAACGTGAAAACGTTCATATATTTTTTAGAGTTTGCTTAACCAAAAATGCCAAAAAATTCACAGGTACCAGCTTCTCAAAAGTGAACAATTGCTAATATCTCAGTTTCTTTGATGGTAATCTCTAATTTTGGCTTTTTTTGGACTGTTGTCAGATGAAATGAAACCATGTGAACACGTTACATGGTTTCAGTGGGTTATGAAGGGCATATTTGACTGTTTTCTGCCACTTTATACATTAAATTATTAAAGAATGTAATACAAGTTATTACATTACATTATTATTTGTCATCTTCTACAATAGAATAATGCTATATTGCTCAAGGTTTTTCTGTGTTAAATACTTGACACATAAATTCAAAGTGACTTATTTTTTGCAGTGGTATCATGTTCTTGTTCACAGAAACTTGTTTTGATTGAGGAAAGCATTTATTAGGCTACAAAAAGAAAGAAAAGACAAATGAATTAGGCTAGAAGAATCTGACTCATAATATATTCAATAACTGATATTTGAAAAACCTTTAAAAGTTAACCATTTATTTTTTAAATTGAAGTTTTCAAAGACTGTGTTCAAGACTGGAATCATTCAGCAGGTTCCCTCTCTAAAATGTCTTTAATATTGCCATTATCTGAAATGTTTATGTTGAATTTGTTTAGATTATTACTAGATTTTTACAGGTTTCATGTGAAAAACAAGATGTGCTCATAAACTTAACACAGCTGACTAAAATCTTACCAACTTGACACACTCCAAACTCCTTCCTTCTATAACCAATAGTAGGTTGTGTGTTTTACATCAGGAGATTTTCTATTACATCTATAACTTCTTTTGAATCCTGCTCCATGCTGCCAGGAATAAAATTCTGCAATAAAATGCAGCAATTGTAGCTGACTAATTATGCAGATGCCTTAAAAGTATTCACATTTAAATGTACCGAAATGAAAACACAGATTTGACTAAAAATGCAGCTGTTGAGTCTTAAGTTAATCACGACTCCTTAAATTCACAATTCAAATAAAATGAATGGCAGATACTAACTCGTATTTGTGTTGTGTGAGTATAAAAGGTGGAAAAACAGATCATTGCCTTTATTGATTGAGTTTCATTAAAACTATCACAACATTTTGAAATCGGAGTGAAGTAAACTGTGATTAATACTTGAATCAGTGCAGATCATGTAGGACTACATCTCCCAGAATCCCCACAGAGAGGACAAGATGGCGGCGCAGAAGGCTAAAGTCAGAGGCAGCTGCAGGCCCGAGGCTCCATTGCACAGCGTTGTGGTGCAGCACTTGAAGCTGCTTGTGTATCCGGCTCCCAGGATTGTGCCGGTCAGCGTCGCCCCACACAGATCTGAGTCCAGGCAGCCGCGAGTGTGAAGGCTGAGCGAGCCGGTGGCGTTGAACTCTGGGAGGACAGAAACAGGAAATGTGACTGACGACACGGCTGTTGTGGAGCTCATCTCCCACAATAACGAGCAGGCCTACAGGTCGGAGGTCATCCACTTGGAGAACTGGTGCCAGGAGAATAATCTCCTGCTGAATGTCAGCAAAACAAAAGAACTGATTGTGGATTTCAGCAGGAAACAGCAGAGGGTCTTCCATCCACTCTGCATTAGTGGGTCTGAGGTGGAAAGAGTGGACAGCTTTAAATATCTAGGTGTGACAATCACACAGGACCTGTCTTGGTCACTTCACATAAAGACCACTGTGAAGAAGGCCAGACAGCGTCTCTTCTACCTCAGATGCCTGACAGACTTGAAGCTCCCGCTCACAGTGCTCAGGAACTTTTACACCTGCACCACTGAAAGCATCCTGTGCGGGAGCATCACCACCTGGATGGGCAGCTGCACCAAGCAGGACTTCTTGGCCCTCAAGAGGGTGGTCCATTCAGCTGAGCGGACTATCAGATCCACCCTCCCCAACCTGCAGGACATTTACACCCAACGATGCAGGTCAAGAGCTGTGAAGATCCTGAAGCACCCCAGCCATCTTGGAAACTCCCTCTTCTCCCTGCTGCCGTCAGGCCGATGCTATCGCTGCCTAAAGACTATAACTGAGAGGACGAGGAAGAGTTTCTTCCCTCAAGCCATCTGTTTGCTCAACTCTGAGCCTTAAACTGGACTGTAATGCACTACTCACTGGCACCTTTAAATATTTTGCACCTTGTACAGCACATGTTCCATTTGCTTTATTTGATTAGATTTTATTTTATTTTATTTATCTATGTATATATATTTCTTGAACACTTTAGGTATCTTATTTTATCTTGTTTTATTTTTATTTTATATATATATATATATTTTTTATTGCAACTGGATACAGGTACTAAGCACATTTCACTACGCATTGTACTGTGTATAATTGTGTATGTGACGAATAAAAGTTTATCTGATCTTATCTTATCTTACATGTAAATGTAAAGGAAGCAGGTTTTAGATCAACAATCTGCCCCTGAAGCAAGAAGTCCACCGCTGTTACAGTTGAGATAAATTGAGATTATGTCCACATACGAATATTGCCTGAAATAATTTAAGCATCATCTGTAACGTTTCATTTTTATGTTCAATATTTCATATGTTAAAATGTCTAAGGTGCAATATTTCATTATCATGTGGAACATTTTAATTACATGTGCAATATTTCACTTTCATCTAATTTTTTAGGTGTAATATTTCATTATTATGTGAGACAGTACTTATTACCTCAGTATCATTGTCAACATTTGTTTTTACTCTTCCATTCTAGCTTTATTTTAGCTCACTTGTTTTAATTAAGTAATGTATCGTCCTTATATTTTATTGCCTCTCTCCTTTATAAGCAATACATTTCTTAGATTATGTCTTTTGGATTGTTTGAGCAATATCTGGCTCAAGGATTTCCACCAGGATTAATAAAGTTTGATCTTTTTTCACATGAATATTGAGATTGTCATTTTCTCAAGTCCCCAAATGGCCCTTTTAGAGCATTATCTATCCACTCCTGTAGCTGTTTTGATTGTAGATTTTTGATTTGCCACATTATTACTGCAATTTTCCAGTAAAATTGTCTCAGTATTACAATTGCAATTTACTGTAACAATGAAATACTGTATAAATGAGAGTAATGCTAATAATCTAACTCTACATATTGGTGTCACTGTGATCAATGTGAAATCTTTGTTGCCTGTAAACTGCAACATTTTCTTTTTTTTTTAAAGTCATAAAATGTGAACTGCAGACATACACCACAGTTAACAAAGTGTCTTTACTATTTATAAAGAAGAATTGAGGTACACCAACTCTGTTTAACATTTAAAAATGAGTATAACACTAGAACACCTCAAACTATAAAGGATAAAGAATAAGCCACTGGGAGGGGGAACATTTATTGAAAGGCAGCAAGTATGACAAATTGTTGTATGTTAAATATATTTTGAAAACAAGTAAGAATAGTTGAACTTTATGTAAAATAGAAAAAAGAAAAAAAAACTTGCCTGTTTCAGGGTGTTACTGTAATGTTAGCAATAACTTAGATTACACAGTAGTTGGGACGTGGGTAATGAGACCTGGTTTTATACAGGAGATACATGAGAATTTTTTAAAGATTAGAAGTTTAACATGCCTAAATGGTATCAGTCCTTAAGGAATTAAGAAAATACATTTCCGACTAAAACATCATCTTGCATATTTTATCTATTTTGTTTGTTCTGCATGTCGGTACTTAATTTGACAGGTCATTTATACTTGTACAGTAACTATGGTATCTGATCTTTATCTGAACCGTAACTGCTATGATGGAACAAGTTGTGAAACACTGTTGTTGCAGTTTTACAGGCTAGCTGCACACCTGCACACATGCGTGCAGAAGAAGCTTCATGGGTCGATTAAAATCAAAGTACTGAATGTTTTGACTGTGTAATCTCTGTTCATGCTCTAGAGGAGGACAGCAGGAGTACTATGTGTGTCAAAAACACAGTAGAGCTGTTTCGCAAGATATCCATTATTCCATTTCAGTTTCATGCTTTTTTTGTGGGAAATTCACGTCAGAGTCGGTGGTTCCACCATTAACACAACTGGACTGACCTGCTCGGTGGCTGCAGGTCAAAAACACCCTGCTGCTAACCAGCAATCCTAACCATCTTTAAGCAACAAGAGCAGTTTTTGACGCTGGAACAGATTTAATGTGTCAGAATTTGATTAAATAAATTCATTCAGGAATATACTACATAACACAGAGAGTTTATAGGTTTTTGGTAGCTGCAGTATAAACAGCATGCAGACTTGAAAGTGCAATTTTTTTCCTCTTGAGATTGATTAATTCACTAAATACTTATTTGTTATGATGCTTTTAAACATACTCCAAATTCTCTGTATGCAGCTCTTTGTTTAGTTTTGTGCCATGAAAGAAAAATGTTAGAGACACGATGATAGTACATAATAATTTGGTTAAAGTTGTTTGGAGTAAACTATATTAAAACTTGCCTTTATTTACAGGTTATGTGGCTGTTAGACACCCACAGTTTCACCAAATACCTGACTTGGGTGATTATTCTTGGAAGAGTTTTCGTATTCAGTGGCTTCTTAATTCTAATAAAAATTATGTATAATCAGACTTTGAAAGCAAACATATATTATCCTAAATCCTTAAATCAATTTTCCTTGTTTAATGTTTACAAAAAGTCCTGATCATCCTGAAAGGCACATTCGTACTAATACAGCCTTTAGTTTCATCTCCTCATTCTGTAATGTGAAGGTAAACGTCTTTCATACCTGCATGGCTCAGACATCATTTTATCTGTACATCAGTGTTGCAGATGTTCACTTACGAGCTTCACCGGTGTAGCAGCTCTCGGTTGCGTTATTGCAGGTGACATCACTTCCAAACAGGCAAATCCCAAGCACACCAAGAGGACACTGACGACAGGTTAGGCACTGAGCTGCTCAACAGGAAAGAACAGGACACAGATCAGATTGACAGAAACTTACTCAGCAGCATAGCAGGAAGATTTCAAACACAGAGAACCTGCAGAGCTGCAGTAGTTTCCGGAAATTTTTCAGAAGTCATTATCACTCTGCAGCTGTAAAAGTTAAAAAGTCTCACTTATAGTAGCTCAAATAAGTAATTAAGTATTCAGTTACCCTCCATCACTGTCCTCTGCTGTCAGCATTTATTTTTCTTTCTTTCCTGCCTCAACATTTTCCTAAACAGGGACTCTAAACACTTCACATACACTTTAAAATACAATTAATTGAACTCCTTCTGATCAGTGCAGCTCCAGACTGAATGTAATTAAGATGCAAGCGCATCAAAACCACCTGAGACTTAATTGCAAACCTCAAGTTATATAACAACCAACCTTTGTCTCGGTTTATCATGAGACATTTTGCCAAGCGATCAAAGTTGCCATTGTCCTCCAAAATAATGAAAATCACACTTTGATGATACGGACGTCAGAGGAAAAATATGTTTAAACTAAGTTCATTCATTGTTGCTCCACTGTCTGGTTTCATTCAAGCAATGTTGACATGTTCACCACATAAATTAAATATACTGAACTCACCTGCTGCGATGAAGGCGCTCAGGACAATCGCTACTTTCCAAAAGTTAGTCATCGTTCTCAGGGTGAATAAGGTCAGCTGAATCCTCTTAAAACAACTATTTATATAGAGGTCTAAATACCTGCTTTAGTCAAATGAGCCTCGGAGAAAACAATGACAAGACTTTGGAGTAGGGAACAATGACAAGCAAGAATGAGGCTCATCAGGTTTTTTGCTCTGAGTAGCTTGAAGAGGAAGTCTGAAGTCATGACTGGAAAACCCCCCCACTCTGCCCAGATATTCACAGTCTGAAGGAAAGTCAAACTCTGTCTGAGCAGAAACAACTTTTACTGTTTGTTCACCAAAGTACACGGTTAAAAGTTACTTTGGTGCATGGACAGATTACTAGATTATGGGCCCCTGACCACAGACATGTGGAGGAACTTTACCTAATTGCCCCTTGGGGATAAATAATTTTCTTTTTTCTGATTCTGATTCTGATTCTGATTCTTCGCTACCATCCTAAAGAGGACCAAGACACAAGATGGAAAGAGAGGCCAAATGACTGGCTTATGTGTCTTTGTAGTCATTTTGTGTGTTTTAGTGGTTGTTTTTCCCCATTTTGTAGCAATTTTGTGCAATTTTATGGTTGTTTCGCCCTTTTGTGTAATCATTTTGTTCCTTTATATGACTGTTTTGCTCCTTTCTATAGCAATTTTGTGTTTTTATGGTTGTTTTGCCCTTTCGTGTAGCCGTTTCGTACCTTTTTATGGTTGTTTTGCTCCTTTTTGTAGCTATTTTGTATGCATTTTATGGCTGTTTTGCCCTTTGAGTAGTCATTCTGTTCATTTATGTGGCTGTTTTGCTCCTTTTTGTTGCAATTGTGAGTGTTTATATGGTTTTTCCCTTTTGTGTTGCCATTTTAAACCTTTTCATGGTTGTTTTGCTCCTTTTTGTGGCCATTTTATATGCATTTTATGGCTGTTTTGCCCTTTTGCATAGTCATTTTGTTCCTTTATATGGCTGTTTTGCTGCTTTTTGTAGAAATTTTGTGTGTTTACATGCCTGTTTTGCTCCTTTTTGTAGAAATTTTGTGTGTTTTCATCGCTGTTCTGCCCTTTTGTATAGCCATTTTGTGCTGTTTTTGTTTGCTTTGCGTAATGGTTGGCTTGTCATTCTTTGTAGTCATTTTAAGTCTTTTGTGGTTGTTTTGCATGTCGTTGTTGTTGTTTTGTGTGTCCTTGTGGTCATATTTTGTGCCTTTCTAGGTATTTTACATATATCTGTGGATGTATGTTTGCAGTTGTTTTACAGCTCACATTATATCTTTTTGTTGTTGTTTTGCCCCTTTTGTAGTCATATTGCATTTCTTTGTAGTCATTTTGTGTGTCTTCTTGGTATATTGTGAGACTTTTTATATCTGCATGTAGATCTATGTCTTTTTTTCAAGGTCTTTGTAGCCACTTTAAGTCTTTATTTTGGGGCTGTTTTTGTGCCCTTTTTTGTAGATGTTTTGTATTTCTTTGCAGCCATCTTATATGTATGTATATATATATATAAGGTCATTTGCATCTTTTTGTTGTCGTGTGTCTCTATTGTTGTTTTTTTCCTTGTGTTGCAACTTTGCATCTCTTGTTAGCCACTTTCCATCCTTCTGGAGTTTATGTCATTTTGTGTCTTGCTTGCAGTTACTTTGCCCTTTGCTGCAATTGTTTTATGTCATTTTAGAGTAGTGATGTGTCGGTCGCGAACGAACCGATTCAAAGAGCCGGCTCTTTTAAGTGAACGATGGGAGCCGGCATCCGTCAGTGAGTCGTTCTTTGCCCCGCCCACAGACCGAGAAAAACTCAGGTATAATGACTGGAGGAGGGGTGCTCCATGCGTGCGGTGCATGAGTGTCACGTGTTTACTGTGTGCAACCAATCACAGGAGGACACACAAGAAGAGGGGGGCGGGGGTGCGTCACTAGCTTGTGTTCATTGGATGGAGCACGCACGCAGCTGGGGAGAGAAAGGAGCGACGACGAGAGAAGGCGCGAAAAAGAAAGCAAGGAAGAAAGATGAGTGAGAGAAACGGAAGCAGCATTTGGATGCACTTTAATAACATTGACAACATAAAGGCAGAATGCAAAATCTGCAAAAATAAACTGTTATATCGAGCAGGATCCACAAACTCCCTCCACAGTCACATGAGAACAGTGCATCCAACAGTTCAATTGGAAGAAACAAGGCAGGATAGCTCACCTGCCTCTGCCAGTACCTCTGTTCCTCCTCCTGCTGCTGCTGCTTCTGCTGCTGCTTCTGCTACTGCAATATATTTATTTTTACTATATATATATATATTATCTATGGTTCTTACTCAGGTAATTTTGGATTTGCTGCTATTTTATTCATTGTAGTACAGCTGTTTCTTTTTATTATCCATCCATCCATTATCTATGCACCGCTTAATCCTCATTAGGGTCGCGGGGGGGCTGGAGCCTATCCCAGCCGACTTAGGGCGAAGGCAGGGGACACCCTGGAAAGGTCGCCAGTCCATCGCAGGGCCACACTTAGAGACAGACAACCAAGCACACTCACATTCACACCTATGGACAATTTAGAATCACCAATTAACCTCAACATGTTTTTGGACTGTGTGGGAGGAAGCCGGAGAACCCGGAGAGAACCCACGCTGCTCTGGGAGAACATGCAAACTCCACACAGAAAGATTCCGGTGCCCCCACCGGGACGCAAACCGGCAACCTTCTTGCTGCGAGGCAACAGTGCTACCAACTGCGCCACCTTGCAGCCCCTTATTTATGTTTTATGTTATTTTATATTTATTTGTTTTTAAGTAAACTGAAAATCTCAATAACTGTCCTTTTTATTTCTATGCTTAAGTTTTTAAAGATGTTTCCATCTGCTTTGTGTAGCAGAGTGGTTCTACAAACAAGTCAGTGTGTTCATTGGGTGGTTTCAGAGAGTTACAAGGGTCTGTAAATGCAATGAAAACAAGTGGCTACAGCAATTTACTGTTATTAGAAAATGTAATTTTTACTTGTGAATACTTTACAAAGGATGGATTGAATTATTTAAGAGGTATGTGTACACCTATGTATATATCATAAGCCAAACAACGCTAAATTTCGCTGGATTAGAAAATATATGAGTGGTGAATTGAAGAGCTGTTTTGGAGCCGAAAGAGCCGGCTCTTCTTGGTGAGCCGAGCCGAATGATCCGGCTCACTCAAAAGAGCCGAAATTCCCATCACTATTTTAGTCTGTAAGTGTTAGTTACGCTGAGCTTCTATATTGAGTCTACATTAACATAGGAGAGAATATAAGGTTCATAAAGTTTGACAAAGAGAGCAAAAGAAAATGCTATTGGTACTTCTTCAAAGCTTGCATACGGATATAAATTGAATAATAATAATGACAGAATAGGATCATTCTTGTTGTTAAAGCACCCGCAGACTCCAAACAGCTGTTAAGGCAGGGATCAAAGCAGCTGTGAGAGGGAGCTGGACAGATGAGGCTCCATTGCAGAGGTTGGTGCTGCAGCAGGTCCCAGTAATGGTATATCCAGTGGACAGGAAGGTTCCTGTTACTGTTTTGTTGCAAAGAGATGAAGGCAGGCAGGACTGGGCCTGTATTTCCAACTTGGAACTGATGTTGAAGGCTGACAGAGAGGCAAGGAAAGAAACACTTTAATTATCAGTAAAACATATTCAAAGCGTCAGGAAAAGGGCTGATTCATTTAGTTTCACCCCTGTGTAAGAAGATGCTACAACTGTGATGAATCTATAGTTCAGCTCACTGGTTCTCAAATTATGGTTTGGACCCTCAAAAAGGGTCACAAGATACATGTAAGGGGTCAGGTGATGAGTAGATAAGAGGAAACAAGTTCTGCAAAAAAGTTCTGTATGACTGTTATAATTATTGTGTGAAATTGTCCTCTTTGGGCCTCAAACAATTATTTAAATAAAACAATCTCAAATAATGGGCCACAACTATAATGATTATTATATTATTACTTTCTTCAAAGTCAGAAGTTTACATACATTTCCTTAGTATTTGGTAGTACTGTCTTTAAGCTGTATAACTTGGCTCAAACATTTCGGGTTTCCTTCCACAAGCTTCTCACAATCATTTGTCTGGTGGTATGCTTAGAGTCATTGTCCATTTGGAAGACTCATTTGCGCTCATGTTTTAATCTTCCTGGCTGATGTCTTGACATGCACCAGTTCCTCCTGCAGCAAAAAAACCCTCAAAACATGATGCTGCCACCCCTGTACTTCACAGTTGGTGTTCTCAGGCTTGCAAGCTTCCCCCTTTTTCCTCCAAATGTACTGATGGTCGTTATGGCCAAACAGTTCAATTTTAGTTTCATCAGGCTACAGCACAAGTCTCCAAAAATGAAGGTCTTCGTCCCTGTGTGCATTTGAAAACTGTAATCTCTCTTTTTCATGTTGCTTTTAGAGTAAAGGCTTCTTCCTCTCTGAGTAGCCTTTCAGCCCATGTCGGTACAGGACTTGTTTCACTGTGGATAATGACACTCTCTCACCAGCTTCAGCAGCATCTCCACAAGGTCTTTTGCTTTGGTTCTGGGGTTGATAAGCACATTTCGCTCTAAAACACTTCATCTCTCGAGCACAGAACCCGTCTCCTTCCTGAGTGGTTCCCATGGTGTTTATACTTGCGTATAATTGTTTGAGTAGAAACTCATTGTTTGTGCTTTGAGCTACATGTTTTGGACATCCGGCCACACCTCAATCTGTACTTTCGGGGCAGGTTTTTCATGATCGGCAGCATTAAACAAACGGTAGGTACATCCAGCAAGAGTCAGTAACCAGACAAACACACACCCATGTGTCCCGTCAGCAGTTTTCAAGAGGACATCAAGTGTTACATACCCAGTGTTCCATAGAAGCAGCTGAACTCTGAGCCATTGCATGTCTTCTCGGAGGGCCACAAGCATCTACCTCCCAAATGTATTTCACAGACGTAACAGGCCAGAGACTCACCTGAAGACATATCAAGACAGTCAGAGGTCACAAATGAATTCATCATTACCTAATATATAAGTGATGTAAATGTGTGGAAATGTCATGATCAAAAGCTTCCAGGAACTCAGTCATATTTAGTTTTGGATAACAGTTAAAATAGCCACTGTGACGCAGATTTCCTGGCACACACATGACACTGTATCATGTACAAACAACACACACACACACACACACACACACACACACACACA